CACACACACTTGCTTTGTGCACATGTGAACAGTATATAGTGTCTGCCTCACATCATTGACTGTAGCAGTTTAATTAGAAGCCAGGGATTATAAACTCAGAAGAAATGGCATTCTGTTTTCCAGTATGGGAGATTAAAGCATATGGCCTGTGTACATCAGAGAGGGGTAAAATTCACATTTGCTAAAATGTTTCTGTCTAAAGATGTGTTTTCATCCCCAAAGGTAAAGCCTTTAAATCTGTCCTTGTAAATGTAGACTGTGGAAAAACAAGATGAGATGTGTGTGTGTCACTTTTGGGGATATTATGCCATTCATGTGCAAATGTTCAAATACCAGATTTTATGTTTCAAGCCTCCAGATATCTCTGCCTGTCACTATTTCTGTTTCTGTGCCTTTCTTACTGTCTGTCACTCTGTTTATCTGTCTGTGTCTCTTTCCATTTCGATATCTTTCTGTCTCCATATGTGAAAGTCTGTTATATTAATATCAGTTTCTCCCCCTAGCTACTAAACTCTCATGGGCAAGGTCTATAGGATTTTTCTGCATGTGCATCAGGTCGGGCATACTAAACATGGCCAAATACGTTTGGTGTTGCTCACGTTTCACTAGCACATGTAGGTTGAGATTCCCTTGAGACAGTGGAAGCGCTGCCTCAGACCACTATCTGTTTAGAGGTTGGGATAGTCAGCATGTGCATTCATTAACATCTGCCTTAAGAGGGCCTTTTTTAAATGAGTCAGATTCTCCACAACAAAGCCTGTACTCTACTTTCCTAGATAGAACTGACTGACTTACTTTCTCTTTCTATCTCTTCTCTCCCCTCCACCCCCCCTCTAATTTCTCTCAGTGTGCCAGATCATGTCTAAAGGGGTGGTGGCAGTCCTCGGCCCCTCTGCCAGCCCAGCCTCCAACTCCATCATCAGCAATATCTGTGGAGAGAAGGAGGTGAGTCGATGCACCTAACTGGCTTGTAGCCGCTGGCCCATGTTCTGTACAACAAGAAATACAGAGTTTGGAACAATGATGCTCATTAGCCACTGTGCGGTTTTTGTGGGGATTGAGGGGGAATGAAATCCTTGTTAGTGAAAATGATGAAATACCTCAACAGTGTCATAACTCTATTCTAGTCCCACTCAAATCAAAGCACCGCTGGGCATTTTATTTCCTCCATTCCCCTCATTAGCTTGGAGCGGTTTGGCCCGCTGAGGCTTGGTAGCCAATGTTTTGAGATTTTTATAGAAACAAATACAAACAAAAAAAAGTAGTGCAAGTCTTGTTGCTTTGATCAGTTTACGTGGGTTCACATCAACCAACTCCCGCTGTCCCTACATCTGGCGTTATTTACACAGTAGATGATTTAACAGATGATAATATGAATGATATTATTTTGACAAAACCAATCAGACATGTTTTTGTATCTGATTTATCAGTGATAAAAAAAGCATGTTTTCCACAGTTGCAACCTGAGTGGATTTGGCTTCAGAGCCTTGCTGCATGCACACAGATCCCAGTTGGATGCTAATTGGCTAGTCTGAACTCTGACATGGTGTGTTTTGCTGCCTGATGTCAAGGCACCTTTGAATTATACACACCATAAACTAGATCAAAATCAATTATGGATAAGAAAAGATTTTAATGTGCAGAGCTGTATCTGGGATGGTTTTACTAAAGTTGATGCACTTTGTTTTACACTATTTGTTGAAGTTGTGTTTAGTGAATACACCAGTATTGATAGTATCTGTATTATCTATAGTATTCATTGGTTTTCACTAGTGTGTTCTGGTGAACTCACCACGTTAATTGGATTTGGTCCACAGAGAAGCCGCCTATTTAACTGCATGAATTTGATTAGTATGACTATTAAAATACATCCCATTACCATCCTAGTCTCTATAATGTCCTCTGGTACAGTTCAGCCCGTCTTCCTAATGAGACATCAGTCTGTTATAGTGTTAGAAAGACCAGGACTCCCTGCTGTTAAAAATCTCTGGTGGAACTGACTTGCGGGGCTGACTGCTTTGAGTGTGATAATACCATTTTATGAATATTAAAGACCCCATAAAGTGAAAAATTACATTTTTGAGTTGTTCAGTGAGACATACAGTATAGTCATAAAATACTCAAAGGAGTTTATACTGGTCCTGAAGATTTACAGTTTCTCAGGGACAAAAAAAAAACCAAAAACGGACTGGGAAATTTTTTACTGTGGTATGAAATCAATATAGAGAATTTTTGTATTGAGCACTGACTGTATAATACACTGTAGTGGACTTCAAATTCTTGTGTTTAGTGTTTGTGTAATTGCTCTGACTACCAGAGGGGGAGACAAAGATTCCGCACTGCAGGATTAAAGAACAGCTATACGTGTTTGGAGGAAAACCATTCCTGAACTGACCTTAATAAGTTTAAGTTTGTGAATTTAATCTTCAGCTTTTACATATTGTGAAGTGTTGTACATCACAAGAGAACAGAACTGCTACTGCAAGACAGCACAGAGCAGGTATTTTAGCCCATATGTAGCTTTTTTTTGTATTTATGCAGGTTCTGTGAAATGTCTTTGAGAGACTAAAATGGTTTGAAGTGTTTCTTCTCTGACAAGATTTAGTGGGAAATGCATAGTTTGATGAGCTGTGATATATTTTTCACCTTACAGCAACATCAAGAGGAACTTGATTTTAGAGTTCAAAAGATAGCTACAGAGGATCGCTTGGAGGAGGATAACATACTTAATGTTAGAGCCTTTGGAAGTGGAGAGAATATATAATAGTGTCTGCAATGTTGTTTAAAATATGACAACCAAATCCACTCCTAATGTTACTTTACTAGATCTGCAGCTTTTATATAATTTATAGTCACATGTTAATTCTAATAATTCTGTGTCCAGCCCCAGTACTGGGTGAGTCATGGTGATTTTTTAGTCAGTTGACAGGATGAGATTAGTGATTTTAATATAAACACACACAAATGCATTTTGGACCAATAATTGTCATGACAATAGACAGCAGATTAACACACCCAGGGGAAAACCTGTTTAGTTAGGAATAAAATGCATTAATAGCTATTTTTAGGTTGTCAGGCAATTAACAATAATAATCAAACCCATTTGTTCTCAGTTGTGGTCATCAAGACGCTGCTGATGGTTTTCATTTTAGTCATCAAATCAAAGGCTTTTGCAAAGCTGGACAACCAGCAGTCTTAGCAGTTTGGTTCTTGAGGATCAGGATTAACTCAGTGGTCCTCATCCGGATGCTGTCAAAGCCAAGAGTGTGCATATTTTTATTCCAACCAAACACTACACCAGCTGATTTCACTGATTAGGTCTCCTATCTCAGGCTTGAGGTGAACAAATCAGTGAATTCAGCTGCCATAATTTGTGTCTGCGTGCGTGCGTGTGTGTGGGTGTGGGTGCGGGTGTGTGCGTGTGTGTGCGTGTGTTCTTTGTCTAGCAGAAAAGGTCACATTGCTATTGTCATGATCACTCTGAAGGGGATGTCTGCCTAATGGCCTTCGTCAGCATGGCCTTACATCAGTGTTAAGGAATAGCAATACAGTACTATCTCAAGTTGATGCATTACCCACAGTAACTGTGGTAAATACACTGTTGTATTACATACACTCATATAATATGTAAACACAGTTATGATGAAACGCAATTATAAAAAATATCTATAAAAAACATTATTTCTGTGTAACATACCTTGAAAAAGTAAAGTCGTTTTTTAAAACCACAGATATTAATCATAGTCATAGTCATAGTCATAGTCTATTCATTTATTCCATTATGAAGTGCATTTAGTTAAAAAATTGTTGACCTTTGGCAAAATATGGTGGGTTATTTGCAGTGGAATTCTTACTCTACTTATTCTCAGGTTCGCACATGATTAAGAACAAAGAAAACCTCAGCTACTATTACCCATCACCGACTCTTGCCTGAATATGGCTAAAGAAATTTAAATCTTTTCAGTTATGGGCACATTGAAGGTCCATCACAATGGGGAATTTTTACAGCAAGAAAATGCTTCCCTGCTGAGTAAGGGGGTTGAGCTAAAGCCGTAATATACTAGTGTTGTCCTTGATAAGATGAGCAGCACAAATCTTGCTGTACTGTAAGTCAGGCTCATCCAGTATATACACCGTAGAGAAACAACAGTCCTTTGAAAAATAATGTTATCCTTTATTCTATATTTGGCAGCCAAATAGTCTGCAGCACACCTCTGGGGACTGCTCAGCAGGAGATGAGTAGATTGGCTGATGGATGCAAGCAGTTGGGGCGTGCCTAATGTTACCCTTTTCGACTCAGGCCACCACCTGCCCCCCCAAAACCCTCCAGAGCGGAAGAACAAAATCTTCTTGTGTGTCTTGTGTCATCTGGCATGATTAGGAGCTTAATGAGCCAACAGATATGTATCTTTGCACTCAAGACCACTTAATTTTTTTCATCGGATCTGATATTAGATGACTCAAAATAACAAATAACTAGTAAGGATAGTAAGAGGGTAGTAGTAAGGATAAACTGGTTTCCAAATTCCTAATTCACTTGCTAAATAGAACCTACAATACTTGCAATAATTTACCAATTATGATAAATGTATTGGGAATTTATTGTATTGTACAGAATATTTGTCATACTGTCTTACTTTTTGTATGTATGCCAGTCTAGGCATATATATGTCTATAAAAAGTTTGAACAGGTCACCCTGAAAAGTAAAAGCTTGAGATAGAAAGATGTGTGTGTATGTGTGTGTCGACGCCACTGTCCACACATTACTCCGACCACCTAATCCCTCTCTGTGAGCGTAAGGCCACAGATGCCGGTGCTCCGGTGGCTGGTTGCCTGTGACACTGGCAGCAATATTGCAGCTGACAGACCCCACTAGGTGATCAGCACGTCATCTAGCAGTCCCTATCAATCACTCCCCGGGTACCACTGCTGCGGCGGGGGCTACTTCCACCGGGGCGGCAGAGGAGCAGGACTGAGCCCATCTGGGTTTCACACTAATAGTGACTAATAGATAAACAGCTACTGCGGAGAAAGGGTTGACTGTATGCATCATGTTTGCAGTTTGTTTCTCTCTTATGCGGCGTGGCAACTAGCAAACCTTGGGGTCAGGATTTTGGGGAAGGGCAGATTAATATCGACTAATGAGAAACATTAACTAGGGCTTTGGATGAGAGGCTCCTGCTGCTTTACAGGTGCTTATCTGCTGGCTGCTGCAGCGAGCCAGAATAGCTGGTGTGTGCTGTGCAATTTTCTTGTTGTTGTTTTGTTTTTCTGTAAATATCAAGGATAAGAAATATGACTTCGATATGAAAGAATAGACCAAGGACTTTTCATTCCATTCACATTTGCGCGAGGTTATTTTCTTACAAAGCCTTGGACTAAGGTCAGTGTGCCATTAGCCATATGAAGCTTTCAAACTAAATTGAGTTAATGTCAGTGATTAAATTTTCATGTGCCAAACATTTCTTCCGAATCCAGTTTTCATCCCACTTTTAGCCACCTTCAGCTCAGTTTAAATGCTTTTACTCACTGTTTCCAGCCCTGACTTTCTCTCCTCTACCATAAGGGATGAAATGTGCAGTATACCCTGTATCTGCTAAACATATTCCTCTATGATTCAAACATGTTTCAGAAGTGGTCATGAATATTAATGTCCAGTCTGATGTCCAGGGGTTGCTTTGGGCTTGTAAAGCCATCTGGTTGCAGCAGTACATAGAGATTACACTAAAGCATTTTGGTAGGGTGGTGCTCAGGTTGGATTCAAAGGTGAACCTGAGGTCCTCTTGGCAAACACAGAGAGTGCTGGATTGAGGTTGGGGGTCATTGGTATCGCTCAAGCCCTGGAGATAGGCAATACTAAGAGATTTGCACTTTCATATACACACCCAAACCCACAAACACAATTCTGACTCATTTTTATATAACCACACAGAAAACGCTTTAA